GTCCGCTCGCCTATCATCTCGAAGCCAGCAATTGCGAAGGTGCGTGAAAAAGAAAACATTTTCAAGACAATTTTCAAGGTTGATATTGAATTTATTTCAGGCGTGCTTTTTCGAAGATCTAAGTTTCTTAACTACGGCAGGCGCTTACAATTTCAATTGCATACAATTTTTATTCTACCGTGTTGTCAAAGAAGCGCCAATAATAGTGTGGCGGTGCATTATTTGAAAAAAATTATGTAATATTTTACCATTTATGGACAGCAGTAGTGAGCTTGAAATAAATAATTTGTTTAATTGAAATACATAAAAAAAAAATACATACGCGTCATCAGTCTTTTTGGATTAAAATAAAATTCAATAAACTCGTCTAGCATAGATTTTTATTGAATGTGTTAGTTTAGAAAAATAAAAAAAAAATAAAAAATATTATTATCGTTAAACATCACTTTCAATTAGTAATAACGGTAATAAATTATAACACTGCATCAATTGAAGGAAAAAAAAAAAAAAAAAAAAAAAAAAAAAAAAAAAAAAAAAGAAGAAGAAGAAAAAACCAATCTTAATTAAATAAGGGATTGTAAGTGGTTGTAAGTGCAGGACTTGTGAAATTCAATGGCCTTCGCATCAAGTTAAGTGAAATTATTCGGAAATACTCGGAAAGGTTTAACGACAGTAGTTGTCTTACAATTTGTCGATAAAATTAAAACTTTTAATCAATTACTTTGACAATTTGTGTAATTGAGAGTACGCCGAGTTACTACAACAGCATTGAAGCACCTCGTAATCATACAATGTACAAGCGATACGTGCAACGATAATCTTTTGAAAATATTATTGAGATTGAAGGAGCAATCGCTGTTGTCTATGGACATGTGAATTTCGAAACTTTTTAAACGAGAATTAGAATTGCTATACCACGCGATGCTCCCGAAGCTCCAATAGGCGAAAACGGTGTAAAAACTACCCAATCAGCCATAAATCACTTGCGAAGTGTTAAAATTATCACAGCCAACACTGAAATAAATAATTCTAATAAATAGTATAAAGAATTAGAGCTCCTTTTTTTCGAATTTGCAAAATGAATTTGTCAAAATTAGGTAATAAATGTAAGATGATAAGATAATTAATACAAAGATGCCGCCGTGCGGCTTTGATAAAACGCATTGCTAATATCAATAATGACGATAATCATATTTTTTATGGTGTTTTATGGTATGAATCTTGCGTAATATAATGAACTTTTCAAGCGAGGCTCCAAATGGTCACGGCATTATTATTTATACGTGCAAATTTACCTGCAGCTAAGCCTACAAATAATAAACGAACACAAAAAACAATAATACATGGAAGAGACAGAATTATTACCGTGAAATAGATACTGGAGAGAGAGAGAGAGGGAGAGAGAGAGAGGGAGAGAGAGAGAGAGAGAGATTCGAGGAGAAAAACTTGTAATCACCATTACGTAAGTACTACCATACCGAAATATCGCATGGATTTATTATCGTGGGATATTTATTTGTAAATGTAGCTGATGACAAAATAATCTTAATTATAATTATGCGAGGACAAAAATATAACGATCTAATTACTTATTCATATAATTAGTAATTTTGAGGAATATGACAGCCGATATAAAAGTATTTACAGGAGTTTTGTCAGATGTGTGGGTAAGTACGATTTCCATTTTCCACGAGTTTGATCAAAAATCCCTTATATTTGATATTATTATTTGTTGCGAACAACGTAATTTTAGATATCCCGTCAAGAAATTTTAAACATAGACTAATTGGTAATAAAATTATTTATGCATATTTTTTTTCAAACATTTCGTGATATTAGAATTATAGTTTTAAACCGTGAACTGTGCGTGAATGTGCAATGTTATGGAAAATATTAATAAAATAAAAATCGTTGCTTGTAATGATTGTTCGAAGAAAGTATGTCATGATACAACTCACGGGGAATTATAATAATCATAAAGTGACAAAAGCAATTTTTATCACTATAATATTGAGTAATAATCATAATAAAAATTCATTATAAAATTATATTTAAACCAGATATCAGAAGGATAGTAAAAAATTTTTTTGTATTTATATGAATGAAGTTGTAATAAATGAAATGTTACGAAAAATTATATTATTTAAATGATGGAACAAAAATTTAAATGTCATATAGAAGAAAAATGTATAATTTAAATATAATATTGAATCAACTTTGTAATAATGATATTTATAAAAAGACATAAAACTTAATTTTTTTTTTTTTCTACAAATAATGATTTTACAAATTGAAATAGTGATTAATTACTTTAATTAATTGGTTTGACAGAAAATCAAGTTGTATTTAAAACAAAATAATACGTAGATTATAAGAATAATTAAAGATACTTTTGACCTTTACACGAGGTCATTGTTTATAATGAATGAAAGTAATTGAAATTAATTTATATTTATAACGGTAAGGTAAAAATTGTTATTAAAACGAGTTTATTGAAAGTAATTTTTCATTATAAAATAGGAAATACACATGTTTGAATAATTTTTATGATTTTAATATCACTATTTTAATTAAAAATATAATTTTATTTTTAAATTATAAACTGCATTACAAAACACATTTTAATCAGATTAACTTAACAGCGATAATAATAAAAACATCGTTTAAACAGAAAATATTATAAAGCTATAACCAATAAAAAATTTAAACGACTGAATAGATAATTGTAACGGAAAATAATCGAATGTAATTGAAATTCTGTATAAAATGAATGAAATTAATTATTCCTTTAAATTCTTTTAAAATTTTATAATATTTTCTGAATAAATAAATTAAAATCAGCAAATTAATTATGCATACTCTCTAAATTTGCTAAAGTAGTTATCTGTTTGTTCTTTTTTTTTTTTTTTTTTTTTTTTTTTTTTTTTACAAATTCTGCTTCATAAAAATATTTTCGTATTATCTTATATATACAATACAGTGATTTACAATAATAATTAATTAAAATAATAAAGCAGATTATATAATATTATTTTAGGTGTAATTTGTCAAAAATATCTTGATTGATGTCTCACTGGTATAATTTACAGCTGATATAATCGACAAATCATATTTACAAGTTATAAATTAAAAAGATGTGAAATTCAATTTCCCTCACGAGTATTTCGTATGAAAAAAGCATCGACCACGATATCATTATTATTACAAAGCATGATTATCACAATCATCGTTGCTAACTTATTAATATTAATCTAATTCATCAAATGATTGTTACAAAATTATTGAATAAAATCTAGCTTTTCTACTTCGCTATATATCTAACGTCAATGAATGTAAACAAAGTAAAATTTAAAATTGTATTGGAATTATATTTTTAATAATATCATAAAATATATATTTTTTTCAATGC